CGGCCAATTACTTGACCGATCATGCCCATCTCCGAACTCATCCTTACTTTTGACCCGAAGATGAAGTGTGCAAAATTTCAAGTCGATAGCTTTTGTTTAAAGAGAGTTATCGTGCGCACAGACGGACGCACAGACGGACGGACAGACAGACATCTTGGTAAATCTATAAGGCCATCTTAAAAGGCCTAAAACTGAATGTTGCTACACATCTAACTAAAGTAGTATAAATGTAACAACGCCAAATACCTCCTACTTAAATATATGCACTAATTTAAAAAAATTCTTTTTCGTACCTGTTTTCCTGTCTTTTAAAGAATTTTTCCTCTCCTCACACCACTCGCTTACTCCACCACACCATACACTATTCTTTTTGTACTAACCTGTACGAAATATCGCAATTAAAATCGTATCATTTTTAACCAACCAAGTAGATAGCACACAGTAATAATTTATAGCACACCTGCTCCAAGCAAGACCAGCAAACCTTGCGCTCACTCCTGTCCTTAATTTTTTGATTGACGGTTGGTGGTCAACAAAGCAGCAGCACTTGCACTTTTTATCTTGCTAATAAATATTATTCTACTCGTCTGCATAAATACATTTGCACTCAAAGTTGGCAGTAATGAAGGATAATAAATATCATCAAGAGTACAAAATTGGAGTGTTTCGTCTTAATCGACGACGACAGCGACACTGCTTTTGTCCCCTTATAAAAAGTGTAAGTGTATTATCTTAGTTGTTTGTTATTAGTTTAATATAGCGTACAAAAAGTGATTGTTGTTCTTCTTCTCCTTCTCATTCTGCGTATTCTACTCTGCTGCTGGTTTGTATTGCCTACCAATCGCCCTACCAACCCCACCTTTCCCAATACATCAACCAAACCCACCGCCAAGCTATGCGGGGTATCGTGCGATTACTGGTTGCGCTATTCTTTGCAAATTTTGTTAACAAAAAATTGCTAATAAACGTTACCTAAAATTAGTCCCAGATTATTAAATTACGTGATTTTGCTAATCCTAAGTTGGTCATTCATTTAAGAGAAATTATTCAATATTTGGAACTCAATTCTTAAAAAATATTTTTCTAGTAAAATCAAAGTCATTTCATGAAATATTAATTGGTATACCTAATTAGTAAGAATAAAATCACTGGCAATTAAGTACAAAAAGGAACATTGAATCTATAGAAGAGGGCTAAAAATGTCTTGCGAAATATGATGCTTCCGCTGAGGGTTTTCATGAACGGTTCATGAACAAAGTGAGCCAGTTCATCTATCACATTCGCATATCATATATCACGTTCACGTTCTATGAAGTTCTATGTTGCAGACTTATTTTTGCTCTCTATATATACGTTCGTACGTGTAAGTGGAGGGGTGTTTGGTGGTTGGTTGGTTGGTGAAGGATTTCATTATATTTTACACGATTCGTTCTCCTGTTACTTGCGAGAATTCGAGTCTCTAATACACAACTGACTGCATTGCGAGACAATAAAAAGACATTTATTTTGGAGTTGGTTTGGATGGTCAGGTTTTTGTGGCATGGCGATGTTGGATAGTTAAATTCGCTGGTTAAATTCCTATTCTGCGCCGGAAAAACAGTAATAAACTCTTGAATCTGGATAGTTCAAAATCCAAAACTTTTTCTAGACTAATGGTGGAATTTTTGGTAAAATCAACGGGTTAGTTATACGGTTAATACAAAGTTGCTTGCGAAGGGGAAAGCAGCTCTAATTTTATAGTTTCATTATCTTTCGATCCTCTTGGTTATCGGGTTATCGTCTGCCGTCATCATTAGTCATGGTAAGTTTGAGGATCTTTGTGCGATTACATTTGCATTCTCATTTCACAAGTTTATAGCTTGTAAAACTCTCTAAGAAACGTTGTAAAAATGCTGACTAATCATCAGAAACGGCTGGAATGACGAAGTTGACCAGCAACATTGACGACAGCTTGTTTTTCGGAGTAGACGCTTCGCTTATTTCATCTGGAAGTAAGTAATCGCCACCGCCATTAACTGAACTCTACACATCAGGTAAAAATTTCAGTAATTTTTAAGTCATCTTTGAACTTTTATTAACATGTTTTATCTATTGGGACAGGATAAGGGGAAGTTTGAAATATTTTAAACCAAGCGCGAACAAAGCAGTTAAAATGGACATAGGAATGGAGTTGGATACTGCAACGAGCGACCTTAATACACCCACACCGTCTACTGTACCAGCAAGTAAAGACGACGATCCTCCTTCGCGACCTTCCCCACCGCATCCCCTGAAGATAAGGTCAAGTGTGCCATTTGTTTGGGAGATTTGGTAAACCGGAGCTACAGTAATTCGTGTATTCATCAATTTTGTTTCGGCTGTCTTCTGGAATGGTCAAAGGTATGATTATTAGAATAATTAATTACAGCTCAGTTTACTAAAAACAGCATTAAATGTATTTCATTCTTTTGCATTCAGGTTAAACCTGAGTGTCCATTGTGTAAGAGTACGTTTAGAGTAATCTACCACAACATTCGAAGCAACGTCGACTTTGACGAATACGTAGTGCCCACTCCTCCAACTCCTATCCCATCTTTGTCAATTAGAGTTTCGTCAGGACGGTCGGATCGCTCTCCGTAAGTGAAGAATATAATGGCATAAAAATGGAATTCTCATTATAAATTGGCATGCGTTCTAACAATAGTGAACTACTCATCACGAGAGGAAATCATGAGTTTGAACTTCCTAATTATGGTGGCTTTCACTACAGGACTCCACCACTCTTCAGGTATATTTATATATATATATATTTGAATTGAATTACTTGGAATTTCAGATGTTAACGACGATTATTGTATCGATATTTAGGGATCCAAGGGTTTATAGATTGCAACTTGGTCAGTTCGGGAGCAGTCGAAATGATGCGATCGATGTATTGCTTCATGGGCATCACGGTCACTCTAGTCATTATCCTCCTCCACACCCAAGCTCCGCCAGTTCTGTGTTTCATGAAAATCCATTCAATGATGACCCTCCGTAAGTAATTTTGCTTATTATTATCATACAAATGCTTAGCTAATAATGTACATTTATTACCTTATTTATTACTACTATTAGAGAATTTTTTGGAGGCATTCTTGATTTGGCTGCTCGTGCGCCATACAACCACTCGACTCGCTTTAGCGGTTATCAAAGTAGACGCAGACGGTACGATCGGAACCAATGGGTTGCACCATTCAGCTCTACGCTTATGGTGGGTACCGTGTTTTTCCCATCCGTGGAATACTTTCAACAGCATCCGGGCGCGATAAGAAGAATTTCTACGTGGCTCCACCGAGAACTTACCGTTTTAATGAGTCTTGCTAGTTCAAGAACTCAGGTTGGTTAGAATATAAATACAATTAATTCTGACTAAAAGTTGTAAAGTTGAGTTGGTAGCTAATTTATAATTCGCTCTGTTAATTTCAGATGGCATACACTTATGATCTTGTGATATCTCTCCTACTCCGATATGATATACGATCCCAGGACTTTCGAGATTTGCTCAGACCTTACTTGGGAGCAAAAACGAAGCAGTTCCAACACGAATTTTATCATTACGTATTATCTGGGATGCGGATGGAAGAATTTGATAACGTTGCCCAATACCACTCGACAGGAGGTTCATCTTCAGCAGTCAGGCCTGGTGAAAATCCTCATAATGTGCAACCAGCCGTTGTTACAATTGACTCTGATGATGATACTCCAGAAATTGTCATTGATGATGGTATGCTAACCTCCGACCATTAAGCCAAACTATCTACTATGCGATTCACTCACCCTCCCATCACAAGACCACCGAGGCTTCTCTACTGCTGCTGCTATTTTACGTTATTTATTTTTGTAGATGATCCTGGTACCACAACTCAGAGCAGTAACCATCATCGGCCCCGTAGATCACCCGGCAGGACTCATTCTTCTTCCAGACGAAATGGTGGTTCAAGTCGAAGAGGTCATGAATCTAGACACCGTAGTAGTGGTGGTGGTGGTGACAATCATTCATCTTCGAGACCACTCAACTCTGGTGGAAGCTTCAACTTTCCTTCAATTGATATCTCATCATCAGAATCCACAGAACCATTTAATGCGTCAAGATTGGACATTGTTAATGCATTTAACGAAATTGATACGGAGGTTCAACGACTTCGTAATATTCAATCCTCCAATCGGTCGTCGAGAAGATCACCCAATGTGTCCCGTGATCCAGAAATGCCAATTTTGGAACCACAAGTAGATTTGAATAATTGAGCAGTTCGGGAACTCCGAATGTATTTAGAAGAGCTCGCGACACAGAACCAACAACAACATCACGACATATGTGGGACTTTATTAATGATGTGGATATAAGTGATATACTTGATGAACGACCTGGGCGTAGATTCATGGATCTAGAACCTGATGGTTCTTCATATCCACGCATACCACATCATGAGACCGACATGGTGAGTTATTAATATTTTTAATTTCGGTTCAATTTCAAAAATTACTTAGTTATTAAACATAATTTGTATTTCCAGCATAACTTGTTGGGATTTTCTGCTCCGAGAGAAAATCGTCCGCTAGGAAGCCCTGATTTTCCCATACTCCAAATTAGGGAGAATCGCGAGAGGAGACATCGGGAACAGCAGCAGCAGGGACAACATAATTTAGCTGAAAATGGGCATACCTCAACGTCGTCTACCTCAATGGTAACGGCACATATTTAAGCATTTCAGTCGTTTTCAACTATTTAATCTAATTGACAAAAAATTGAATAATTGTTAATTGTTTTAGGAACGCCCATCTTGCATTCACAGCAGCAACACTAATACCAACAATGGCTCTGTGCAAATACGAATTTACCCTACTGCAGTGGACCTGTCACCATTTGGACTTAATCTAAGCAACAATCGTAGTCGCTCTCCAGCCGGAGCCGCACGGCCACGCACTCCTGGACGACCTCCTTCACCAATGATGCCCGATGATGGCGAATGTGAATTTTTGGGGGTCCATCCCATTGTAAAAAAGCCACCATTGGCAGTTATTACACTTTCTTCGGAAGATGAAAATGAAGATGGAAATCATAATCAAACTGTGAGTATTTCTTTTATATATATTCAGAGTGTAGTTATAAACAATTCTTGGCTTCACGTTAATTAATTATATTAAATATGTTTGGCAGTCATTGCAGACTGATAATGTGATTGATGTTGATCCCATTCCGGGTACATCAACTAATCTGATGCCACTATCGGCTCTACCTTTTAAACGTCGATACGTTGCTCCACCTCCAGAATTGGATGCATTTCAAGCGGCTTTGTCTGCTTTGCCTACAGCCAACCTCGTAGAACGACACATGGACTCTATTCCTCCATTCCGACAAAGACATTCCAGTAAACATAAAAAGAAGGAACGTTATCGAAATCCTGCCTTTGAGTTGCATTCATCTCCTCCTCACAAATCTAAAAAACAATCATCTGAAATTGAGAGTTTAGAAAGTACTGGATGGTCACGAGCAGCAGCTTCTGCTAAGAAAAGGAAGCAGTCTGTTACCGCTTCAAAATCCTCTTTGACTGGAAAAAAGAAGACTGTTAATACTCGTTCTACTAAGGTTAAACCATGGCTTTTAGTAGAACCCTCCGCATCCTCATCTCCATCGATGAACTCCGGCACTGAATTAAAATTGGACTCGTCCGCTGATAGTGATAGTGACTTTGACGTCTTTGCATCAAGAATCAAAAGCAAGAAGCAAAAGTCCCCAAAGAAGAAGACTAAGAAGTCTAAGAAATCATCAAAGTGTAAAAGTAAAAAAGGATCGAAAAGAAGCAGCAGCCGTACAATGTCTTCCTCAATGTTGAAACCTGAAAAGCATGCAACTTCTTCCACTTTCACCAACAATCCTGCTCTTTCTGGTTCTAGTTCTAACAGGCTGAAATCTGTGGTAATGAAGGTGAACAAGGGAAAAAAGAGCAGTAAAATTAAGTTGACGCCCTCGCTTATATTTACGTCGTCTGAATCGTCCTCCAGTGACGAGAAAACGTGTCGTAGTGTGATGTTTGACGGTGGTATGGTTGCAAGTAGCAGTGGGTCATTGACAACAGCATCATCTTCCTCCGCTACTACCATCGTGGGTGGGACCTCAGGATCTAGTCAAAGCCAAGAGATTCAAACCCCATCTTCTGCATTAGACCTGTCATCAACAGGAACGAATTCAAATCACTTGAGCCCATTTCTCGGACCAATTTCAACCAGTATCATGAAGAGAAGAATTTTGTCTCGTCGTTGGGAATCGGATGATGATGACAACGACGAGCAAGAAGACAAAATACTGATTTCTGAGAACAATGACGAGGCTTCGGATTCTGGGTCCGTGGGAAGATTCAATGAACACCAAGACGACCCGGATAATAGTGATGATAGTGATTTTTCTATTGCTCACCACGGCTCCAGGAATCACAAACGGCTACGAATTGGTGAGAACTGAAAATAATATTTTATTCATGATTGTTATCTTATTATGCCATATTTGTAAATTTCAGATGGCGACGATGATGATTTTTGAGGAATGATCACAAAGCTGGCTACGGAGATGTCTTTATCTGACTGAAATGCAGCTGGCGAATCTTCTCGGAACAAGACTGTGTACACAGGTACATTCATTTAAAATAATATACTTCCTACTTATCCGATAGCGTTTACACCCATTTAAAATATTTGTGTTGCATTTACGAGATTTAAGTTTTCGGTTTATATTATATTTACTATATTTACTGAAATTAAAAGAGACATATGTGGTAAAATATAGACGTGAAGTAATAATATTTAACTGATAATTTAGTGACAATGAAAAATCAAAGTGTACATATTAATACGAAAGTGGTGTGAAAGATGTTAATAATATTAACGATCTTATTTTCGAACGGGCGTAATATTGTGATTTTATTTAAAGCATTTTAATCATGAAAAAGCACAATAAAGACGTTATGAATCAAAAATGTTTATTTTTTAGTTTCAGACATTTTGAAAAATTATGGTACGCTCTAAACACATCGATCGACATTACATTAATGTAATTAAAAATATTTAAAAGCTGACGACATTTGGTAAAATTAAATCTAAAAGTATTGTACATCACAGTTCCATTATCATTACATACATATAAAAAATTGAGCTATGAACTTACGAAATGAATGTAGGTATTGAAGGTTTGTGCATTTAGATAAAAAAAAGTCAAAATAACCTCCACAATTTTTGGAATCATTATCATAGTATTGGCTAACTGTTGAATTTTATGGTAATTTTTTACATGTCTCCTCTACCCTCTGTACTCATAGTCTTGGCTGGGATTGTATCGCGTTTTTCCTCGTCTCAAAATCTGGGCTCGAGGGTCCCCTGTGGTACGCTCTTCTTGCGTCGTGGGAACACTTCTGCTCGTTGCTGTGTTTTGTGCCTTTGCAGCATAATTTGAAAAAGTCTCTGCTGCTGCTGGGGTGGAATCCCGATTCCTCTTGCTGAAAGATCCTCCCCTCCGAGAAGATCCACTACTGGATGGAGTGAAACCTCTCGATGAGGTGGTGCTAGTGGGCGAATATGCATAGTTTTGTGCCACTGTTGGCGTGGATATTTGTCCTTTTAGGAATTTTGTAATCGTTCTCGTCTCAGTAAGAGTGACCGTGACTGGAGTATTTGCCGGGATGGGAGGACATTTCTCATACTTTTGATAATTTCCTGAATAGTCGCCATCCGAACTGGGCTCTAGTAAATACTCTCGAGCCAATCTTGGGTTCTCGTCATCTTCCTCTTCTTCATCCCCGTTCTGCTCCCTCGCTTTAAACGTCTATTGTAATATCCATAGTCGTCGGAATATTGGACTGCGGCAGGGTCTTCCTCAATCGGAGAGTCATCCTCTTGGATGCTGGATCCATATTGACGATTGTAGAATTGTTCCTGTTGAACTTGAGGCTGTTGTTGGCCATATGCCGTCGACGTCTTCTTCTTACTTTTCTCTCGTGTTGTTGGAGCTTGGGTAGGATTATTTCCGTAATAGCTTCCATAGTAGTCGTACTCGTCTTGTCCTGTTGCTGCTGGAGATTGATATTGGCTACCATGTTGTCTTTGAGACTTGGACTTGGTCGTGATTTCGGCATCTTTTTGAGCATACTTTGTAGGCGACCTTTGAGGGGGCGGCGGAGATTCCGTGGTGGTCGTGGGTCTCGTCTTTCGTCTCTGCTTCTTATCCGCGGAATTCGTGAATGTAGTCGTACCTCTGCTGCTCGAGGTTTTTGAAGGTTTTGAGGGTGACACGAACTGATCCGTATCAACTGGGCTGCCTCTTTCACGAAGATAAATCTTCTTACTTGGGGCTCGCGTCTCTTCTTGGACATCGTTATGATATTGGGTGTCATCCTCGTAGGCGTCATACTCATTCTTGTTTGTGGCACCCGTGTTGTCTGCTACCACGATCTCTTCCTTCTTACTGCTCCCTCCTCCTCCTACGATGGCTGTCGGGACCACGACGGACACGTCATCCCCGGCCACTGGAGAAGCCTTAATTTGCGGTACGACAAGCGTTGGTGTGACGGTGGAAGTGATGGTTTTAATCTCGGACGTGGTTACATCGAATGTTTTCGTCCGGGTGATTGTCGTGCTGAAGGGTTTGTTGCCAAAAAGTAGGGGCACCGTGACAAGCGCAGTTGTGGTCATTTTCGTCGTAAATGTGGAAGTTGTGAGGTACGTGGTGAGCGATGGGTACACCAAGTTTTGATTGATGGCTGCGAGGGGATTCAAAAAGTTTCCGGGACCAGTTCCACCTACCAAACCCCCTCCGATTTGTTGGCCGAGTGGCGACAAGTTGTTCAGGTTCAGATTAGAACCGGCTAATCCTTGAAGATTGGAGGTGGCCAGGGCAAGAAGCGGGTTAGCATTTACTTGGCGTTGCTGTTGTAGAGCTTGGTAGAGAAGAAGATTGGTCAACTGACAGGAGGCGAGGAGACCTGTAAATCAGAAAAAAAATTCGTATTCAAAATTTTATTAGCTTAATTAATATGACACAACTAATTCAAGTTTTGATTTGGGGGTGAGCGGTGATTCATGAAATTCATTTGCCGCTGTTCTGTTGTAACGAAATTCATTATTAATTGTTATCCTCGTTAAAATTGGGCAATTTTTCCGTTAATCAACAAACATTCTATTCCCAGTACATATATATTTCGTCAAATACTTTACGCTTGAACTCAGCCAGTTAAGTCCTAATGAAAATTAAAAGCTTAAGCCGAACGTTATATCATGCAATACAATAACTACATGCTTGCTTTACATAGCAATATGTACGGAATTAAAAAATAATTAGTACAAGTAAGTCAGTCATCCCAGGCAAATATAAAAAGCATTAAAATCAAGCCAAGGAAAAGTAAAAGTGTACAACTGTTTACAAGTAATTAACACGTTCTACATTTTATTAAAACCTAATATTAAATTAATAAGCATGCCGTTACCCTAAAGAATTATCGTTACAACTATTTCGTTGGATGGGTGGACTCGATAAAAGTTAGGCAAAACAGAATTCAAAAGACTTTTCCATCAAACTTTAATTCATTCAATTCATGAAAGTTGTGATAAAAAATAATTAGCGTTCCTCAATTCACATTTTAATCAATTCCTCTCAAACTAGTAAAGTTCCGCTACTGCATGGTTGGGATTTCTATCAAGTAGATATGCAAAGTGGTATGAGAGCATCTGTGTACACGGGTTGACAAACTATTCATTACTCGATGAAAAGTTAATGAGCCGAAAATTAGTAATTGATCTCCTGATGTTAATCGTTCTGCATCAATTATACGTAACTCCTCAGTTGTATCATATTTATGTAAAATGTGATGGGGAAATGCTCATGCATCGAGGTGGTTGCATGGGCAGTCAACAAGAAATTCAACAGATTTCCTCATGCAGTTTCGCTGATTTTTAAACATTTGGGAAATGTGCAATGTGCAGGAAATGCAGCTACTCGTGAGTCATTATCGAATGCAGAATTTTGTAATTTTTTACAATTTTCCAGCTTTTCTAGAGAAATGTATGTAACTTTTTGATTGTGGTAAATATTTTACAATTAGAAATGCAAATATCACCCTGAATGAGCAGTGTTTAAATATCTACTTTACTTATTCATAATAAGTATTTCCTAAAAAATTGTTGCGCTTTTGGTGTGCAATAACGCAATGAAAAGCACTCATAAAAACTGCGGTGGCTGCGGTACATTGTCAAGAAATGTCAATAATATAGTGACGGCAACCACTTTGAATTTGAAATTCAGCGACCCTTTCGATTTCTTAAGAGCATGCATGATGCATTGCGAAAATTGTGATATCTGTACGTTCAACTTCTTTTGTTAGCCGTCCGACTCAATTACTTTGCTTGTTCAGCCTCTGCTACCTTTAATTTCGGCATCTGTAAATGTATAATACCTGCAGATCAGTTTTTATTTATTCTTGGTAGAACTTTTTGACGCGATGCTATGCGATGCTCTACTTCCAACTTTGGCGATAAACCATTTTTTTGACACAAGAAGCTTGTAATTCTAATCAATGCACTATTCATTCGCTCTCGGATGGAATCAAATAGTTTAATTTGGTATAAAATTGTCATGTACTAGAATTTGGTAACGACAGAAAAATGCACATGCACGGATTAAGTAATGCATGCAGGATAAAGTAAAAGTTTAATTTTTACGTGTCCTTTGCGGAGAACATGAAAAAATGCAGATAATCAAGATTTCGATCTACAGCACGCACATTAATGACGGACGTGTGTGTTTTAAATATCTTAAATGGGAACAATCAACCAATAAGAAATAAATTGGTTGGTTTGAGAAGATTTTCTTGTATGTATGTAGGACAAAGAGTTTGACTATGGGCTTAAATTGCATATTATGCAAACGACAAATTGCTACTGTATTTTTTAAATTTTAAATGCTGGTGGTAACACGAGTCAAAAATCGATTAAAGTTATGAAACTTGTGTACAATTTTAAAAAGGTAATTTTATCCATTAGTTAAGACTGACCGCATGTCTTTTGACGAAATTTATTAATGCGTGCCCATTATTTATCGTCCTAATACCACTACAACATGGTCAAGATGATGATAAATTGAAGGAAAGTTAATGAAATAATGACACAAATAAATAACGCAAGCATCAGCGGGGTTTCATAACTTATGAATTAGTAACACATTAAAGATAATCCTTTGTTATTTATGTTTTTTAAAAGAAGCTAAAATACGAAATGTTACACGGCTGATGATGATGATGACGGAATTTTATCATCTTGTGAAAAGGGGATGAAAATGACATCAACAAAAGAAAATGAGAACAATAGAGCTTTGCAGTCCAGAACACCCAATGCCGAGACGTGTAAATTTGTGATTGTCACATTTAGGTTGCTGGTAGCACTTTTGGTCATTAAATTGTCGTCACTTATTCAGTCAACATACATACAACAACTGTCTACTAAATGGATATCCTTTTCGTGTTGCAAGGTGAAACTTTGGAACGGAAATGAATTGCTTATTTATATTTATATGTGCATATCGCCAACTTCAGGGGCAGACTGTTGCATTGACGAATTGAGTGCATTTTGCAAGATATTATTACAATATGCTATTTTTAAGGAGGGTGATTAATACTTTGATGGAGTAATTGATTGGATTGAGAGTAAATAGTATACGTAATCCAAAGTTGTGCATACATGTGTGTAAATTAACTATGGATATACAGTTCAATATCACAAGTGCAGGCGACAAGGCTAACAAATTGTCACTTGGTCAAGTACACAATGATATCATATTCATTCTAAGAAACTGATCCGTAGCATTGATTTTAGTGCCTGCATAGTACGCAGTGCATTTCGTGATCAAAAGTTGTTCCAATACCGTCCAATAATATTAGGTGTGGTCATCTGCATGTAAAACTGAGACGAAATGAAATGTGAGGATGGAT